TTTTTTCCCCTTTGGTTTGTTTGTTTTTCCTGCGCTTTCTCTCTCCCTGTCGCGCCTATCGCGACTTAGGCAGCCCCGGTTAGGGCAGCGCCCGCCCGGGGCCATCCGGCCCCTTTGTCATGGAATTGTCCCAATCCACACCCAATTCCAGGAGATTTTCCCCCAACCAGGCTGGGTTTTGTGCTTAGACTCAATTTATAACAAATATCCACAATTTCTTATCCTCCCCACTTACCCCTGTGGGTTTTTATCAGCCCTGGGGGCAGGGAATTTTAATTTTTTTATATATAATTTAATTTTAATTTTTACCTTAATTTTTACCTAATTTTTACCTTAATTTTATCGTTTTTCTGCTTTCACCAGCACCATTTTCCCCGTGCAAATCAGCACAATTCATGCAAAGCCCACTGAATATAGTTGATTTTTTTACACTTTAAATTCCCTCCAAACCCCCAAAATCACTCATTTTGCTTAGAAAATCAGATGCTTTAACCAAGAATAAATTAAATGTTTTACACGGTCATTAAAATGCAGCTCCTCACTTTTGCTTTGCATTTTGATCTTTGGAGGTTCACCCCTACATTTGAGTAAAAATTTAAATCCTTTTTTATAATTTAAATCCTATTTTTATACATTGGGAACTGTGAGAAGATGGCTTGATGATACAAACATGATCAGATTTAGAGGAGAAATTAAAATTTTAGCATAATTTTGAGTTCATTTCATGCCCTGCTGGAGTTCCATTGGAATTCCTTTGGAATTCTGGCTGTTCTGCTCCATCCCATCCAGGACCAGGAAAACCTGGCTGATGGTGGAATAAAGAAGCCCAAAATACACTGAATTACGGATGAAAATAAGGAGCCCCGGGGAGGAAGGTGCAGAAACCACATCAAGGAATTCTCTGCTGGAAATATTGGATTAAACCCCACAGGAGCTGACTCAGGTGCACAAGTTTTGAATGTTTTTGCAGCCCAATAAAAACGCAATAATTGAGGATATTTCAGAGGAATTTGTTTTCCTGGCAATGCAGGGCAGTTCATACCTCGTGTTTTGTACCTTTTTGTTGTTTTTATTCCTAATTTCAACTCATAAACTCGTTTCTTAGCACCGTCGAGACAGCGAAACAACAACTACCAACTGAGCAATATCCAATTTTTATTTCAAACTGTTGCAATGCTGCACCAGCGATTGACTGATGTAGAATAAAATCCATTTTTTTTCCTCTTTACACAACCATAATACTGAATTTTACAATGGTCAGGACCCTGCCTCTAAAATACTGTGAAACAGCAAGAAATTAAAAAAAAATTAAACCAAAAAAAAGCTGAATTTTGACATTTTTTGACTTGTTGAGGCTGCAGTAAAATTCTCCAGCTGTGTGAAGAAACCAAGTGCAGCCACCAAGGCACAAAATACACCTTGAAATTCATCTGGTTTTGAGTCTCAGAGCCACAAATTGAAATTCCAGGAAGGAGAAAAGAGAAGGAAACGGGAACAGTTGGCCCAGAGTCACACAGAGGGCATGGAGGGAGAGCAGGGAAAAGGAAATTCCTTCATTTCCCAAAATCCTCATTCCTGATGAGGCCACGAGTGAAGCAGAATAAAGATCATTTTTGATTCCTACCTGAAAAATTCAAGTTTTTACTCCCCTAAATCAACAAAAAGTAAATTAAGCTTTTTTTTTTTTTTTTGGCTTTCCCCTTCCAGTTTTTAATAATTCTGGGTTTTAAAAATCAGAATTATTTCAGCTGGGCGCAGCCCCTGCTCCTCCCACGTCGTTCCTGGATGGGGATTTTGGATCTGGTTTAATCCATTTAAACCAGATTTAAATTTGGGGCACTTTTTGGGGTTTATTTGGCTTTTTTGAAGCATGGGGAGATCTCTGCAAACACCCCCAGCTGCTCAGGAAAATCGTTTTCCTGCCTGCTTGGGGTTTTCACCCAGCTCAGGCAACGACTCTTCCTTTTGTGCAGCTTGTGGGGGGTTTTATTTGCCATTTTTTTCAGATGTTAACCAACGGTAAATGTGGGAAAATAACCTCCCCAAGGCACACGTGGGGACTGGAAACCAAAGGGCAGCACAGAAATGCTGTGAAATAGATGATTTTTTTTTAAATAGATTATTTTTTTGAAAAAAGAGATTTTTTTTAAAGATTTTGAAAAAAAAAAGATTTTTTTAAAGAGTTTTTTTTTAAAGAGATTTTTTAAAAGAGATTTTTTTAAGAGATTTTTTTAAGAGATTTTTTAAAGGTTTTTTTTTTTAAGAGGTTTTTTTTTAAATCTCTTTTTTTTTTTTAAGCATCTTCCTTTGGGTTTTTGGTTGATTCTTAAAAGGCACTTTTGGAGGAAGAGCTGCAGGCACCTGGGAGGTATCAAAGTGCTGATGGAAGAATTTTTCCTGCAAAATTCCCAGAAATTCCCTGTGAGGAGGCCTTGGCAGGGATGATCCAAAGGAACGTCCCTGCCCATGGCACTGGGGGAATCTCCAGCCACGGTTCTGTAGCTGACGACACAAACCTGGCCAGATTTAGAGGAGAAATTACAATTTCAGCATCATTGAAATTACAATTTCAGCATCATTTGAGTTCTTTTCACGCTCTGCTCGAGCTCCATTGGATGGGGCAGGAATTGGGAATTTTCAGCTGCTCTGGGCTGGGTTTTCCACCTCTGAGGAGAGCTCTTGGCTGGAACATTTTAAGTACAAAAATCAATAAATAACGCCTGAATCTTAAGGGGTTTTGTGGCAGCTCCTTTAAAAAATTAGGCACTTCTCTCATGTTCTACAAAGAACTAGAAATATTTATAGGATTAAATATTTATAGTATTAAAAATATCTTTTTTTTGTTGGGGTTTTTTTCTGTTGTTTTGTTTTTTGTTTGTTTGTTTGTTTAAGACAATGAAGTAAAATTCAGCAAGGCACTTCCATTTTGCTGCTAATCAGCTCTCCCTATTTCTAAAACCAAGAGTACAGGAAAGGGTATTTTTAAGCNTTTTTTTTTAAGAGGTTTTTTTTTAAATCTCTTTTTTTTTTTTAAGCATCTTCCTTTGGGTTTTTGGTTGATTCTTAAAAGGCACTTTTGGAGGAAGAGCTGCAGGCACCTGGGAGGTATCAAAGTGCTGATGGAAGAATTTTTCCTGCAAAATTCCCAGAAATTCCCTGTGAGGAGGCCTTGGCAGGGATGATCCAAAGGAACGTCCCTGCCCATGGCACTGGGGGAATCTCCAGCCACGGTTCTGTAGCTGACGACACAAACCTGGCCAGATTTAGAGGAGAAATTACAATTTCAGCATCATTGAAATTACAATTTCAGCATCATTTGAGTTCTTTTCACGCTCTGCTCGAGCTCCATTGGATGGGGCAGGAATTGGGAATTTTCAGCTGCTCTGGGCTGGGTTTTCCACCTCTGAGGAGAGCTCTTGGCTGGAACATTTTAAGTACAAAAATCAATAAATAACGCCTGAATCTTAAGGGGTTTTGTGGCAGCTCCTTTAAAAAATTAGGCACTTCTCTCATGTTCTACAAAGAACTAGAAATATTTATAGGATTAAATATTTATAGTATTAAAAATATCTTTTTTTTGTTGGGGTTTTTTTCTGTTGTTTTGTTTTTTGTTTGTTTGTTTGTTTAAGACAATGAAGTAAAATTCAGCAAGGCACTTCCATTTTGCTGCTAATCAGCTCTCCCTATTTCTAAAACCAAGAGTACAGGAAAGGGTATTTTTAAGCACCTCTAACCCCTAATTTGGCAATATTTGCGTGGCAGAACCCTAGCCCAGGTACTTCAGCTTTGCATTAAAAAGTGCAGCACAAATAATCCCAAATTTCTTCACCCTCACTGTTTCGTTTTAAATTCTTTTCAGCTCCAGAGAATGAAAATCAGATTTTTTTAGTGAAGGTGATGAGTGCCTGTTTTACCAACAGCCAGGCAGTGAGGAATAATTTACCAGAGCAAAGCAGCCCTAATTCAGCAGAAACCAGGACACAGCAATTTCTAGTCCTGTCTCCCACTTAAACCACTCAAGAAGGTAAAAAAAAAATTGAATTATTGAAGGCCTTTTGCTGAAATCCAAACCCAAAACGTGAGCAGGGCGATCGTGAACCACCAGAAAATCACAGAACAGCAAATCCAGAATTAAACACACAAAACTCCAACCCTGAAGTTGAGTTCCCCCATAAATTCTCCTCGATTTGTACCAATTTTTTGGCCAGAATTGCTCTCCACCACCAATATCTGGGATGTGGAAGGGAAAAGTGGCACCAGAGGGAAACGGGGAGTGGTTCCTTCCTTTCCTTTTATCCCACAAAGTCTTTTTTTTTTTTTTCCCTCCTCCTCCTCTTCCCCAGCCCCACTAAAACAGCAGGGGGGTTTTTAGGGAGCTGTTTCCGACCCCAAATTCCCTCCTGGATGCTGGGAAGGCAATTGAGCAGCAGTTGCCAAAAGCGCTTTGGGCTGGGGGGTGGAGGCTGTCCCAAAAAACGTGCCCAGGGTCACACAAAGGGGCCAAAAAGGGGCAGCAGGAGGGGCTGGGGGCAGGAAGGGCAGGAGCAGCTCCGGGACAAATTTTGGGAATTCTGCTCCACAGGGGAGTGGGGATTGTGCTGGTTCAGGAGCAATCCCTGACCAAATTTTGGGGTCTCTGCTCCACAGGGGAGTAGGGGATGTGCTGGTTCAGGAGGAACTCCTGAAATTTTGGGAATTCTTCTGCACAAGGCAGTGAGAACTCTGGTGGTCCAGGAAGGGAAGGAACAACTCCTGACCAAATTTTGGGAACTCTGCTCCATAGAGAAGTGAGAATTGTGCTGGTCCAGGAGGGGCAGGTGCAGTTCCTGACTAAATTTTGGGAACTCTGCTCCACAGGGGAGTAGGGGCTGTGCTGGTCCAGGAGGGGCAGGAGGAACTCCTGAAATTTTGGGAACTCTGCTGCACAAGGCAGTGAGAACTGTGGTGGTTCAGGAAGGGAAGGAGCAACTCCTGACCAAATTTTGGGAACTCTGCTCCATAGAGAAGTGAGAATTGTGCTGGTCCAGGAGGGGCAGGTGCAGCTCCTGACCAAGTTTTGGGAACTCTACTCCATAGAGAAGTGAGAATTGTGCTGGTCCAGGAGGGGCAGGTGCAGCTCCTGACCAAATTTTGGGAACTCTGCTCCATAGAGAAGTGAGAATTGTGCTGGTCCAGGAGGGGCAGGTGCAGCTCCTGACCAAATTTTGGGGTCTGCTCCACAGGGGAGTGGGGATTGTGCTGGTCCAGGAAGGGCTAGAGCAGCTCCTGACCAAATTTTGGGAACTGTGCCCCACAGGGGAGTGAGGATGGTGCTGGTCCAGGAGGGCAGGAGCAATTCCTGACCAAATTTTGGGAACTCTGCTCCACAGGGGAGTGAGGATTGTGCTGGTCCAGGAAGTCTCCTGACCAAATTTTGGGGTCTCTGCTCCACAGGGGAGTGGGGATTGTGCTGGTTCAGGAAGGACAGGAGCAGTTCCTGACCAAATTTTGGGGTTTCTGCCCCACAGGGGAGTGAGAACTGTGCTGCTCCAGGTCCCAGCTGAGCCCCAGAACTCCACAGTGCTGCAGCTCCTCATCCTCAGGGGTTTGGGCACTGCTGGGATGTGCTGCTCCCCCCAGGACACAGATCCAGCATCCCAGAGATTGCTGGGATCCCACAGCTGGGGATCCACCTGGGCTGGGCTGTGTCCCCAAAAGGGAGGGCTTCAAGGTGCAGAAAATTAACAAAATCCCTCTGCCAGCCCTTGCCAGAGAGGGAAGTGCTCAAAATTTAAAAAAAAATAATAATTCAGTGTAATGCAAGGCACTGCCTGGACATGGACTGTGCTCCATCAGAGCAGCAGAGAAAAAAGGAATATTCCCAATCCTCTTCTTCCATCCCTTGCTCCAAGTCACTGCAGCAGGGCTCTGCTGAGGAAACAGCCACTGAAAAGTTCAAAATATCAGGAAAAAACACCAAACCAGGGACAGTTCAGGGCAAGGTGACCATGGTAACGATGATGATGATGATGATGGTGATGGTGAGAAGCCCATCAGAGCTGCAGTGGCTTCAGCAGCAGGCCCAGCCTGGAGGGGAGGTCTCCTTGATGTTGATGTAATCCCCAGTGCCAGCAGAGGAGGAGCTTCCATCTCCCGCGGATGAGGACATCATCTTCTCAATCAGAACCCTGGGGGAAAAAAGTCCTGAGTTTGATTTTGTTGGTTTTTTTTTTTTTTTTTCAGAAGAGAAATAAAAAATTTTAAAAAGCAAAGCCCTGAAGTGCAAGAAATGGATTTGTAGAGAGTTATGCACTGCAGAAAAGAAATTAAAACTAAAAAGTGAAGCTCAGAAGTGCAGGAAATGGATTTGCAGAGAGTTCTCAGGGCCTACTGCATCGTGTAGCAAAAAGCTGACAGGCCAAGAAACACTTGGAGTGTTTTTGTAATTAAGAAATTGTTAACTTCTGATTGTGATCACGTAAATTATAACCCCTGTATTGTTTCACTCTTCTCATGAGACTAAAAAATAGTTATATTAAAAACTTCTCTTTGGCAAAATAGATGGAAAAATTACTTTATACATTGAAATACTCCACAATTGCTTCAGGGGGAAAATAGTCTCTTTTGAAAAACACCTTTCATGAGAGGCTTCCTCTGGTCCCTGGCCAGAGGCTGCAGGGGGACAAACTGAAGTGTTTTCTGCAAATAAACAACTGGCAGCTTTTGGTTATTTTAATAAAAGTTTTTTAAATGCCTCCCAGTTGCCCTATTGTCACCTTGTCCTTTTGAAAGTTTTAAAGTGCTTCCAAAAGTTTTCTATGCCTTCTGATGTTTACATATTTACAGTTTCTCACACTGCTCATGTAAATTAGGATTGTTTTACATTCTTCTTTGTGAGGCAAGAGAATTGATGGGCTGTTGGTTTGAGCAGTGGAGAGGTGGGAATTTCATCCTCCAATCCGCTGCCACTTTTGGAATTAAAATAAAGAATTAAAATAAAGAATTAGTGTTGCTATAGGACACGTTAAAGCACAACGTGAGCCACCTGCTATTTGCAAGGTAAAGAAGAAGGTTTATTTTTCTGACTCTAACTTTTATACTTTCTTAAAGGTGACACTGGATTAAAGAGTAAATAAGCCACCTCTCCAAAGACATTAAACAAACTACTAGTACATCGAGTTTCTCCACCCCTATAAAAGAATGTAAAAACAATATGTTGCTTATAGAAATTATGTGAAAAAGTTCTCTAAAAAATATAAACTCAGAGAGCTTTAGATAATCTTAAGAATCAGAGTAACAAATTAGAAACAAAGAATTAGAAATCAAGTTCTCTCCTTTTACTCTCTTTTCCACCTAGCGTGAATGTGTGAGTTATTTTGTGACGCTCCTCTAAGAAAAGAATATTGGCTGACAGAGAAGGAGATAAACTGCAGGAAATGAGGAAAAAATGGGGTTAAGGAGTGGGACAGCACTGGCAGCTGGATTTGGGCAGGGGCCTTGCCCTGTGCCAGGTGCTGCCAGCCCTGGGCACTGCCAGGGGCTCCGGCAGGGCAGGGGCACGGCTCCTACCTCATGGACTCGCTGATGTTCTTGTTCTCCTTCACAGACGTCTCCACCCATCCCGAAAATCCGTTTTCTTTGCTGAACCGATCGACCTCGTCCCGGCTCACTGCCCACGGGGAGAGGTCACACTGCAAGGAGACAGAGGCACCTCAGGGCCACCGAGCCCAGCCTGGCTCCGCTCGGAGGGGACCCCAAAGTCACCCACGGGCAGGGACAATTCCCCTGTCCCAGGCTGCTCAACCCAGCCCGGGGCACTCCCAGGGCTGGAGCAGCCCCAGCTCCTCTGGGAATCCCATCCCAGCCCCTCCCAGGGAAGGGTTTATTCCCAATGTCCCATCCAAACCAGCCCAGGGAATTCTGGAATGGGTTGGGTTGGAAGGGATCATGCAATCCCATGGGCAGGGACACTTCCCACTATCCCAGGGTGCCATTTGATCCATTTTACCCATTTTATTAATTTTATTCACTTTATCCCCTGTCCAACCCATCCTGGGACACTCCCAGGGCTGGAGCAGCCCCAGCTCCTCTGGGAATCCCATCCCAGCCCCTCCCAGGGAATGATTTATTCCCTATGTCCCATCCAAACCAGCCCAGGGAATCCTGGAATGGGTTGGGTTGGAAGGGATCATCCAATCCCATGGGCAGGGACACTTCCCACTATCCCAGGGTGCATTTTTACCAATTTTGCCCATTTTATTCACTTTATCCATTGTCCAATCTATTCTGGGACATTCCCAGGGCTGGAGCACCCATGGATTCTCTGGGAATTCCATCCCAGCCCCTCCCAGGGAAGGGTTTATTCCAAATATCCCACCCAAACCATCCCAGGGAATCCTGGAATGGGTTGGGTTGGAAGGGATCATCCAATCCCCTGGGCAGGGACACCTCCCACCATCCCAGGGTGCCATTTGATCCATTTTATTATTTTGATCCATTTGATCCATTTTATTCTTTTGATCCATTTGATCCATTTTATCCTTTGGATCTATTTGACCCACTGTCCAACCCTGTCTAGGACAGCCTTAGGGATGGAGCAGCCCCAGCTCTTCAGGGAATTCCATCCCAGCTCCTCCCAGGAAGGATTTATTCCCAATATCCCATCCAAACCAGCCCAGGGAATCCTGGAACGGGTTGGGTTGGAAGGAATCATTCAATCCCATGGGCAGGGACACTTCCAGGGACAGGGCAGCCTGGAATTCTGTGGATCCTCTGTGCCAGGGCCTGCCCACCCTCCCAGGGGGAATTCCTCCCCGGTGTGGCAGCTGGCGGGGCCCGTCCGTGGCTGGGGGAGGCAGCTCAGCCCCCACAGCTCCCACATCTCGGGGCAAGGCTCTCGCTGGGCCGTTGCAAGCAGCAATTTCTTTATCTGATATCTCAGTCACTGACACACTTCAGCCAAGCACGCCTGGAATGGAGCTCCCAGCCTTGTCCCTCATCCCAAAAATCTGCCCGGGCTCCCAGCAGCCGGGAGAGGTGGCACAGGTGTGGTGGCACCGATGCCAGGGGATGGGCACGGAGGCAGAGGGAGAGCCTGGCCCAGAGCTCGTGGCTGCAGCCAGCCAGGATTCCCTGATCCTGGCAAAGCTGCTGCCTCAGAAGAGAATCCCAGGATCCCTGAGGCTGGAAAATCCCTGTGGGATCATCGAATCCAATCTGTGCCCAATCCCCACCCTGAGCTCTCAGTGCCACCTCCAGGGATGGGCACTCCAAACCCCCCTGGCAGCCCCTTCCAACCCTTCCCATGAGGAAATTCCTGCTGCTGTCCAACCTGAACCTCCCAAGGCACAGATTAAAGTGATGTCCCCTTATCCTGTCCTGGCCCCACCAGGGAGGGTGGGAATGGCCCAGCAGGTGCAGCTGGGGAAGGGATGCAGAGCTCAGAATCGTGGAATTATCGAGGCTGGAAAATCCCTGTGGGATCATCGAGTCCCGGCTGTGCCCAAACCCCACCCTGAGCACTCAGTGCCACCTCCAGGTGCCACCTCCAGGGATGGGCACTCCAAACCCCCCTGGCAGCCCCTTCCAACCCTTCCCATGAGGAAATTCCTGCTGGTGTCCAACCTGAGCCTCCCCAGCACAGCCTGAGGCCGTTCCCTCTCCTCCTGTCCCTGTTCCCTGGGATGAGATCCCAAATCCCCCCGGCTGTCCCCTCCTGTCAGGGAGTTTCAATCAAAGGAAATAATTATTGAAGTGCAATTTGTGGAGCAGTGGGTAAGAAAAGCCACTCTCCTGCCCAGCCACCCCATTTTTGAGTCTCAAACTGAATTTGGAAAGGGCTCCCGAGCCAGGACTGGCACAGGGGGAGCAAAAAGCAGGGTTGGAAATGAAGGGAAAATACAACATAAAAAGGGAGAAATCAATGCAGAGAGCAAAACTCAGCCCTAGATCCAGGTGGAAAGCAGAATTTCTGTCTCTGTGACAGGAGCTGTGCTCAGGGCGACAGGACAGGGAGGAAAAGGCCCCAAGTTGCACCAGGGGGGGTTTGTGTTGCATTTTAGGAGAGGTTTCTTCAAGGAAAGGGTTGTAAAGCAGGGCTGCGGAGAAAAATCCTTGGGAAAGGCAAGAAATTCTAGGAGGGGCCTGGAAAGGTTTAAAGGTGACAGCAAAGGTGAGTGCTGAAGGTGTTCTCTGCTGTGCACACACAGAAAAATGCAGAAATAAACAGGAACACACACACAGGAACATGCAAACACACAGAGAAACACAGAGAAATGCATAAAAATGCACAAAACCCCACACAAACAGATCCGGAACACACAAAAAATCCCACAAACACACAGGAACAGAAACACAAACACAGGGAAATACACCCAAACAGAAAAACACAGAAACAGACAAAGCCCACACACAAACACACAGAGACACAGAGGAATATAAACAGAAAACCACATAAAACCCACACAGAAACACACAGAGACACAGAGGAATATAAACAGAAAACCACACAAAACCCACACAGAAACACACAGAGACACAGAGGAATATAAACAGAAAACCACACAAAACCCACACAGAAACACACAAAATCCACAGAAAAACACACAAAAACCATAGAAACCCACAGAGAAACACACAAAAACCATACAAACCCACAGAGGAACACAGAAACCACACAAACCCCCACACAGAAACACAGAGGAACATACAAAACCACACAAAAACTATACAAACCCACAGAGAAACACACAAAAACCACACAAAACCACACAAAACCATACAGAAATAATACAAACTCACAGAGAAACATACAAAAACCATACAAAAAACCACACAACCCCACAGAGAAACACACAAAAACCAGACAAACCCACAGAGAAACACACAAAAACCAGACAAACTCACAGAGGAACACTCAAAAACCATAGAAACACATAGAGAAACACACAAAAAATGCACAAAAATGCACAAAAATGCACAAAAACCATACAAATATCATACAAAATCGTAGAGAAACAAACAAAAACCACACAAAAACCATACAAAAAAACCACACAAACTCACAGAGAAACACACAAAAACCATAGAAACACACAGTGAAATACACAAAACCCACACAAAACCAGACAAAAACCACACAAACTCACAAACACCACACAAAATCCACACAAACTCACAGAGAAACACACAAAAACCAAATAAAATCATACAGAAATCATACAAACTGACAGAGAAACACACAAAAACCACACAAAACCACACAAACACACAGAGAAACACACAAAAACCACACAAAAACCAAATAAAACCATACAAAAATTATACAAACTGGCAGAGAAACACACAAAAACCACATAAACACACAAACACACAAAAACCACACAAAAACCAAATAAAATCATACAGAAATCATACAAACTCACAGAGAAACACACAAACACCACACAAACACCACACACACAGAGAAACACACAAAAACCACAAAACCCAAATAAAACCATACAAAAATCATACAAACTGACAGAGAAACACACAAAACCCACATAAACACACAGAGAAACACACAAAAAACACACAAAAACCAAATAAAATCATACAGAAATCATACAAACTCACAGAGAAATACAAGAAAACCACACAAACACCACACACAGAGAAACACACAAAAACCACACAAAACCCAAATAAAACCATACAAAAATCATACAAACTGACAGAGAAAGACACAAAAACCACACAA